TGCTTTGAGCCATGCAAATTGTCCCGAACTCATGCCGAACTCCCAAACTGATGCATGGCAAACGTTGTGTCGTTCATTGAAAGCAATTCCGAAACAATTGGTGAAGAATGTTTTGACTTCTCCCAGAATTTGCAAACAATTGTTGAACAATTGTTTACATTTTGCGAACTTTTACAATTGTCTACATTTTGCGAAGGTTTACAAACAATTGCCAAACAATTGCTGAACAATTGTCTACATTTTGCGAATATTTACAAACAATTGCCAAACAATTGTTGAACAATTGTTTACATTTTGCGGACTCTTGCAAACAATTGTTAAACAATTGTTTGCATTTTTTGAACTTTTACAAACAATTGCTAAACAATTGTCAAACAATTTTCGAACAATTGCCAAAGTATTGCTGAAACAATTGCCTAAACTATTGCCTACTTTCCTAGTGTGCTGCCACAGAGCCATTCTTGAAAACATTTAAGTTTAGACTATAGCTCATACGCGTCATGCCAGTTGCGCTGCCTACTCAAAAAGGTTCCCAAAGGTTCATGGGCTGCGAAAGGGAGAGTTGCAAGTGCCCTAAACTTTAGGGGTTCAGGGTTTAGGGTTCAAACCCTAAACCCTCAATCCTAGCTGTCGTTCTGACTGAAGGAGTACAGTTGGCCTACATCTAACCCTGCCTTATGATTCCTAAACCCTAAGTAGTAGTTTCCATTCTATCTTCCATTTTCCCTATATGACCCTTAAGTAGCAGTTTCCATCTTGTTTTCCATCATTCCCTATATGAGCCATAGTCTAAACTCCTAGTATCACCCTTAATAACCCCTATAATACGCCCCTATATAACTTCCCTTTAAGAAGTTTAGACAATGGTTCACGTAACTCCAATGTTGGATCGTGAAAAGCACACGGAAACCAAGGCTGATGCTCAACCTCCGGGAAGCCTGACGGCCGCCCAAAACCAAACGTGCAAAGCCCTAAACGGGGTTTAGGGTTTAGCCCTAAACCCTAAGCCCTAAAGATTTCGCTCAATCAACCTCCCCCCCAACCACTATGAAATTCTTGGGCTGTGCTTAATCTTCTTGCTCCGACTAGCCTTTGTTGTAAACTACTTTTCTAGAGAAAACTAATAGAATAAATACTACTGTTGATGGAGGACATCTTGCACCACCTTAAGTCTCTAAAGTCCTAGGAATCACAGTAGTTTAGGGCCCCTAGGTGGTGCAAGATTTCATCCATCAACCCGAAACCCTAAACCTCTGCATCTGAGGGCCCGGAGTTGGTTTCATCTACAAGCTCGAAGTCCCAGGCTACTGCAGGGGCCCAAATAATTGCCAATTCCAGTATGAGGTCCATTTGAGGTACCATAAACTATAATTATATAAGGAATATGAAGCCATAACCTGGGTAATTATATAAGGAATATGGAACCATAATATGGGTAATATAAGGAATATGAAGCCAGAATATGGGTAATTATTTAGGCCCGTATATTACTCTGCTTTGAAAGGCTGCCTTCTAGATCATGAAGCTGCACGTCGCCTGTGTAGTAAGAGGAATCTAGGTACCCCAACCGCTTTCGGGTTTAGGGTTTAGGGATAAAGGCTCTAGGGTTTAAGTAGATACCGCAGAAATGCAGAATCAAAAGGAAATATATGGACAAATACATTAAACAACTGGGATTACAGACGGGTTGATTCGGATAATAAAGGAACTTCAGCTACACCACTGCAACTCCTTAAAGTAGGACCCTATCATAATCAGATGACTGTTATCAAAGGGTTCTTAGTATAGGGGTTGGGTAACCAAAATCCCTTTATCACTGTGGGTCTGGTGTGTGAAAGCTAAACTGAGATCTCCTGTGTACACAGGTCACCCAGTGTAGCCAAAATTAGGATCCTCAGCATCAAAGGATTCAGGGCTTAGGGTTCAGGATTTAGACCTCGAACCCTAAACCCTAAACCCTAAAGCTTTAAACCCCAAACCCTAAACTATCCTTTTCTCCAATATAGGCCCTGAGTCCGGAAGAACACTTTTAAAACGGTTTGAGTTTAGAGTTTAGCGTTTAGGGTACAGGGGTAACAACTACTTTGAAAGCAGCCACTGAACAATGAATTGGGGGTTCTGGAATCTGGAAACAGCCATTGATTATTAAATTCAACTGATTAATCAAGTATTCCAATAGGTTAAATATCCAATGTGTAATTAACGTGCTTAACTAGCTGATTTAAATATTTCATGAACTCTTGATTTTCCATGGAGAATACGAGGCAGCCAACAATAGAAAGGGGCCCCTCATTTCGGGGAACTGAAACCCTAAACCCGAATCCTAAACCCCAAACCCGAAATCCTAAGCCCAAAACCCCAAAACCCTAGACTGCGGGTTTAGGCATGGGGCCAAGTCAAGGGAACAGTTCAGGTATGAGAGGGCGCCTTGCTGATGGTATGCTTGTGTTTCTGGCTATTGGTAGGGAATGAAGCATTTAGGGTTTAGGATTTGGGGTTTAGGATTTAGGTCCTAGGATTTAGGATTTAGGGTTTATGGTGTGGGGTTAAGGTTTAAGATTTAGGTGGAAAGGAAAATGGCCTCAGGAATTGAATGGTGTCCAGGAATTCAAAGCATGGAAGCTAGTGCTCTTATTTGTCTGACCTAGGGTTTACCTTTTACGCGTTGAAGAACAAGTGGAAACCACCACGTTTTTGAGGATTATAGCATTCGCATACAGCCTGAACCCTCCAATCCTGAACCTTAAACCGTCAACCGCGCAAGACGGTCCCTAAACTCTAAACCGCCTGTTTCTTGTGTGTTGGGGGACTTTTCTCTTGACACCGGCCCCCTAGCCCCACTGGGAAGAAGCCCCAAGCTAGGTGTTTTTTTTCAACGGAGGGTTTAGGGGTTTTAGGGTTTAGGGTCTAGGGTTTTTAGGGTTTAGGGTTTCTAAAATGATGGCTATGGTTGGCTCAGTATCTCCTTCTGGGGTCATTCGGCACTCTGGAACGGCATCCTGAATTCATAGCCTGAAACCCAAATCCAGAAGATTGACCCGAACCTCAAACCCTAAACCCTTAGAACCTGAACTCTAAATCCTAAACCCTTAACCTCTAAAATCCAAAGCCCTTAACCCTTAAATCCCACGCTCTGCACCCTAAATCCTAATTCTCTTCAACCCTAAATCCTTGTCCCTCAACCTTAGTCCCAATCCTTAAACTCTGAGCTCAAGTTTCCTCTATACCCCAGCAAGAGACGAGGTGCGCTCGGCCATTGTCCGCATGTTGTCACGCCTCAGCAGCGCGCTGGAGCATCGCCATTCACCCCAGGGTTTAAGGGAAGGGTATGGGGATTAGGGCTAAAACTTAAGGGTTTAGGACCTGAGGCTTAAGATGTTGAGGGTTAGTGTCACTGGGTTCAAACGTTTGCTTGCGTCTATGCATCTAGAACTTAGGGTGTTGAGGATCATGTAAGGTTCCAGGGTTTCGAGCGTAGGTTATGTGAAGCCCTAAACCCTAAACCCTTATGCTTTAGGGCCTGGTGTCAAGGGTGTTCAACCATGGAGTTTGAAAAGTGTGGGGTTACTAGGGTGAGGACATGGAACAAATCCCATAGCACCGGCAAGGCCTTCTGGTTTAGGATTTAGGGTCTAGGGTTTAGGGAAGGCCTTCTGGTTTAAACCCTAACCCTAAGCCCTGAACCTTACTTCCCTCCTCCTGGCCCGCATGCCTGAAACGCATTGAAACGGTGGATTGAGGAAACCTTGCACGCCGTAATGCACCTTTACAGCCCAAGCGAAACCCTAAACCCCTTAGCCCAAAACCCCTAAACCCTAAACCCCTAAACCTTAAACCCGTAAACCCCTAAACCCCTGAACCCTAAACCCTACACCTCTGAACCCCTAAACCTTAAATCCCTAAACCCCTCAACTTTAAACCGCTAGACCCCTAAACCCTACACCTCTAAACCCCTGAACCCCTAAACCCTTATCCCCACTTTTGGAGATCCTAAGTGGTGCAAGATTGCTCCATCCACCGAAGGACTAAGACCTGCACCTGCATGCCATGGGTCGGAGATGTAGTGTGGACTCTGGGACCTAGGGTTTAGGGTCAAGGGTTTAGGTTTAGGGGTTTAGGGGCCTAGGGTCTCGGGTTTAGGGGCTTAGCGGCTTAGGGTTTAGGGTTACCCCAAACCCTCAACCCTAAAACCCTGAATCCTAGAACCTGAAACCCTAAACCCTAAAGTCTAAGACCTCCACCCTAAACAAACTTTCTGGGCATCGGACATGACGCCCATGGCGCCGTCCAAGTCGCTTCGCAACTTTCCGATGGCCTCGAGGGCTGTGCTATGCAGGTTCGATAAACGGTTAAGGATTTAGGGTTTAGGGTGTAGGATATAGGATGTATGGGCTGAAAGGTTTAGGGTTTAGGGTATGGGGCTTAGGTTTAGGGTCAAGGTTGTTGTTTGTAACCTGGGGCTTGCGGCAGCTCAAGTGTGCTAAGTGATTGTCCCATACAACTTGCTTCAAAGAGCAACAGGGCTGAAACTACACAACCTTAAACCCTGCACCTTGGTATCCCCAAGTATAAGGTACTAAAGGTCCTCATGCAGGAGATATCATGTAGGCCTCATTGCTGCGGGGTCCAGGAGTTGGGAAAAGCTTGCTGAATTCAGAAAAACAAGCGTGCAGGATCTGGAGCTGAGATTCGAAGTGAGACAAATACTTTGCAACTGTGGGGCATGCTCTTAGACAGTACGTGGGAGTTCTTTTGAATCCTATACTCCCTGTCAGTTCAGGTAGCTCAAAACCCTAAACCGAGCCAACCCATGCTGAGTCTCCATGTTGCCCTAGGTTGGTTTTGGAAACCAAAATGCGAGTTACCCGGAATAAGGAAGCCGCATCATTCGCGGGTTTGGGAAGAAACGAGGCTTTACACGTCGCACTCACCAGGTCACCTTCTGAAAGATCCCCCCTCAACCCTAAACCCAAAACCGAATCAACGCCAAGGCAGCCAATTTGCCAAACACCATCAGCAACTATTCCACGCTTGCCCACCTTCAAGCCTAATAAAGCAAGTTCCAAGTCGGCTACCAGTACGCTCAGGATTCCCAACCCTACTTGCAGGTCCGTTTCACTTATAACCTACTTAGTAACTGTGGTTATAGCCTTTTGTATTTTATCTAGGGTAACTGTAGATATGGGACTTATGATTAGGTTATAACTACAATTACTAATTAGGTTATACGTAAAATGGACCTCCAAGTACCCCCTTCTATCTGTCCCAGAACCACCAAGGCAATGCGTCCTGTGGATCGCCATTCGACGGATGTCCCGCCATGAGCGCAAATGCCTTCTTTTCCTACTACCTTCACGGCCCGGGTCCCTGACACACCCTGGGCTGCAAATGCTGAAAGGTGTGCACTTTTCTAGTCACGAAACTGCTGGGTGCACCACAGCCCCTATGCTGACTGTTGTCTGATGGGCCACAGGGCAAGGCTGCTGACAAAAGCAATCGTACAATGCTTACCTAGCCCTATGCAGCGAGGTGGCGTCGGCGCCAGAGTGCATGAATTGCAAGGTTTAAGGTATGGCAAGTAGTAGGGATATGAATGCTTTGCTGTTGACACCTGCAAGCCTCGGCGCAGCATGTGACATGGCTGCAGGAAGCGAGAAACAAGGCAACGAAGGCTCTGACCTCCTAAGCACGCCGCATGCCTTTTTTTAAGTCATGTGGGGCAATTAGGTCTAGGCGACAGGGGGCGCCTGACGATTCGCTGAACCCTTCGGGCGCGGTCCAACGAGCGCTAAGAATTGATATGGTGGCTTCCACAACTTGGGGGCCTCAAAATGGATACAATATACGATAATCGCTACTATGGGGACTCCCAATTTGCCATATAGCTCCCATCCCGCATGCCGCGCTTTTTCTTCCGAAACAGGTCCTAAGATCTCCATTGGGCCTACAAGGCATACGATTCGAATCTAGTGAAACTTCGAATCTAGTGAAGCAAGAAGCACAAATTGAACAGGAGTGCGCGCTGCCCCGAAGCACGTAACGCTCTCTGTAGTTTGGGTACTGCCCCCACCCAGTAACGGTCTATAAAAGGGGTCATATTAAGGGCTCTGTATAGCTGCATCAAAAAAATATCCTGCTGTGGGCAACACCCAAGCTCTAGCTCTTGACGGCAATCCAGAGCTGTATCTGGACCTGTGTCAACGGTAGCAAAATGGATGGCATGGATAAAGAGACGTTAATTTCAGGGTTTAGGGTAAAATAAACTAATTTCAGGGGTTGGTCTGTGCAGGTGTTTGCAAGCAGAATCGCTATATCTAACTGTCCTGCTGACTAGGTGTTTGCAATCATGACTGTCACTTAGCTTAGCTTCTAGCTTCAAGAAACTTAGGGAAGTTGTGTGAAATCGTAATCCCCTTCGGGAGGATTTTGAAGCAAATGCTGAAAGCCATTGTTGGCACCAAGGACTGCTGTGGTCTTTGAGCTTTATGCCCCGTCAAAGCTTTGAGGGAACCCTTTCACAACGGAAGTGCGTGCGTGTGTGTCAAGTACAAACTTTTCCAAACTTTTCCAATATGATATCTTGATCGTAGAAAGGGTATTCAGAAGCATGATCCTGGTCCTTCGTGATCATGGTACCGAGTTTTTCAGGATCAGCCAGAGTTTTGGGAAGCTACCGTCTGCACGCAGCAACCATGTTTTGAATCAAGGCATCTGCACACATCGTTGCGTGCCAGCGTGTGACACTGTGAATACTCAGACCCCCAAAAGGATCCCCAAAAATGGAAATCCCCCAACATGAGCCCATTACTACATTGGGGAAACTAGGGGATTGTTAGGGGGCTCCGTTTTTTTGAATCCTTTAGGGGGTCTGGTAAGAGACTCGCGGATTGCTTGGTGCAATTGCCGATATTGGTACAAGACCCGCAGGGCTTCACTGCCATCTCATGGATTGCTGCGACACCCGTGGGACCGGTAGGGCTTGTTTGGGGAAAAGCTGCTAAAGGGCCACGGGTTTCCTGGTTCGTCCACTGGTTATATGAAATACGGTTCCACATCGCGTCGGAGGGATCCATGATGATCTGAAAATGATCTACATCCCACGACACCTGTTTGAAGAGGTGCTCCAAACGAGAGCACCCCTTTCTCCCGACATGGGCCTGTTTCAGCGCATGTGTAACCATGTTGAATGAAATGGATGGAGAATGCGCTCTCTGAATTCTACCCTGCATACCCATAACAGCCAACACTCCCTGTAAATGGCCTCGCTAGGCCCGCTAGAAAAAAACGGTACACACTTATAACTGCCTCCGTTCTTGGACCACCTCAAGGAGTTTCTTAGGAACATGTCGCACGAAGTTGGTGTGAACGTCGCCTATTGAAAGCATTATCCGTCGTGAAGTCTTGTATGACATCTTCTCCTAAACGTAGGCCCTATATTGGGATTGGAAAATGCATGGGCAAACGAACGGAAAATGATATGGAATGCGTATGTTTCACGGCGATGGTGGATACAGTGTCCCTGATTGCAGGTATCTAGCGCATGATAGAGGGAAGTTGGAGGGTCCTGGCCCTTGTAAGTTCCAAGGCTTCCGCGACGAGGGGAACATGATGCAGTTTCTGAGAATGCTGGGTTTGGCAGTTGGTCTTTCGAAGGTTTCTTATGATGTTGGGCAGATGTTATGAGAAACATCTAAGCATGCAGCGGGCTTGGGTAATCATGCACGCGCGTTCGTCCACTCGAAGGATGCCGTTTTATGCTTCCGAAGAATTCATGCATGCCACAGCGTGATAGGTCCTTGTAACAAGATCCTGTGTGGTTCACGAGAACATGAAACTTGCAGGTTGTAAGCTACTCGCACCAGCATAAGCTGCAAAGCGTCATCAGCAAGTTTTGAATGCAACACCTCGCCCAAACCTAGAATTCAGAACCTTGATCACCTGATCCCGACATTTTTTCAGCCCAGCCCAGAATGCCTACTCAGACTGCTCATCCTACATAGATCCTTTAGGCAATGATCCAAAGCACGGAGTCCTTGAGGGCTATACGGCATACTGCAAACCCCAAGGAGCGACAAGGACAGACCCGAGGCGCAAGGCTTTTGGCTCAGCATGAATCATCCCAAGTCCTGCAGAGGCTTGGTAGGTTTCCCAAAATTAGGGGTTACAAAATTACGGGACATTTTTAAAGAGGGGTATACGGGTTATATAGGGTTTTGGCTTTCCCCAAATTAGGGGTTACAAAATTACGGGACATTTTTAAAGAGGGGTATACGGGTTACATAGGGTTTAGGCTTTCCCAAAATTAGGGGTTACAAAATTACGGGACATTTTTAAAGAGGGGTTATAGGGGTTATATAGGGTTTAGGGTTTCCCAAAATTGAGGGTACCTTTTTTGAGGGGTCCTACTGATAAGGATCATTGTAGTATTTGGGGTTCGATTTGGGGGTCCCCCTACTTAGGGAAAGCGCCTTTGGTGGAGACCTTGTCAACCTTGCGGGGGGAAACGCTTGATGTAGAGTCCCTACTGCTGCAAATGAGAGACCAGAAGCAGAAAATGAAGGATATATATTTATAAGTTAGATACGGAAGCAACCATAAGTATACTTTTGGCATTGAATTGCCTATGGCGCGACACCTTGGCCATCTCGTAAAATGATGAACCCCGAAGTCCTGACCGCCCCAACACCGCTCCATGTGCACCTCAAGCGCAGGTTGAGACAGGCTAGTTTCTGAACATTGGAGTGCCTCCCATCCAGAATAAGTTGTGTGTAAACATCCAGCAGCAACCTGTGTGGCAAGAAACTGCCAGCTACATGCCGCTTCCCGGTTTCTACTGAGGGTTGAGGCAGGCACAAGCTGGTCGATGAGGGACAGAAAGCCGATCTTCTCACTCCCTTGCGACATTCTGGACGAAAAGCATGATTGGTTCCTCTGTGGTTGTAAGGTGAATGTCAGGGACCTAGCTTAAACGTTGAACACCATAAGCTTAGTAGATTCCTTGGATCCCTTGCAAAAGAGCTGAACATGGAATATCTGCCCATCCAATATCAAGTTGAATCTTGCAACATCCGAAAGCACAAAGTGGCTGCGGCTTCACCACTCAAGGATGCCCTTACCTTTTCTGCGGGGCTGGATATGACTACCAATATGTAAGCCTTTCCGAGGCATGGGGCCAGCGCCCACATCTCCTTGATTCAGCTCTTCTGAGCGGGCAGATGGACATTGTCACTCTGCCCCAAACACTGGCCAAGATCAGAGCTGAGGAACCCAGCTCTGCCCCAAACATGAAGCACCTTGGCCAGCGACCACTGCGATGTTCCATGGACTTCTTGTACGGCAAAGCTACTTCGGTCCGGCGTGTTGAATTCTGCTGCAATAAGAACGTAGTTGCCTTTGATGTAGCCGGATGTGTTATCAAGGCGCTCAAGTGACATGACCCAGTCGGTATGGCAGAGTCTGTACTGCAAAGGCACACCAGAATAGAAGCAACGCCCGCTTTGTTGCAGCAGTAGCTGTAGGATATCCGTGTAGCCGACATCGCATGAAAGCCCCAGTGCTTTGGCATGCCAGCGCGCATGGCTAGCTAAGGTCTTGGCCCTGCCTCGTAGGGTCCTTCGGTAAGGACAGACATTGTCAGGGACCGTGTCGGATTTGAGCCCGCGTCTGTGCAAGGCGTTAGCAGCATCTTGGTCAAGGCGTTCCGTGTCAACTGCAAAATCCCAAACGCTCTGCAAAGACTGAACTTTCTCAGCTGACCATTGCGCGCTGCCTTGTATTTCTTCCTGCTTTACACCTCGACGCCTCGTGTGGTCAGTAGAATTGAACTCAGCGGCCACAAGCACGCAATTCGCACGCGAGTAGCCAACGGAGTTGTTCACGCGCTCCAGAGACATGCGCCAATCCGAGTGTGGAAGTAGAATCTCCATGGGAACTCCCGAGTATGCACATAATCCCTGCTGCTGCAACAACATGCTCAACACATCGTCCCGTGTAATGTTCCCCAGCCTGCCTTTCAGCCTGTCCCGCGATCTTCCTGCCTGGGCCAACATATTCGCCATCCCCCTTAAAGAGCGCCTGTACGCGCGTGAGCTTTCTGCATCGCACTGTTTACACCTCGTCTTGCTCTTCGAAAACCTCTCGTGCGGCAGGTAACGTCCACAATCATGGCAAGGCATTTTGCCGTCTTCGTTGGCCATTCTTGCAGAGCCACTGGCACCATGCCGCAGTGGCACAACCCGTGCTTCGGCTACTAAGTCTTCGAGTTGCTCCAGATATCGCCGGGTAGGAGCAGTCCTGGTTAAGGCTGCTTGGCCTGGAAAGTG